CTTTATAACTATAGGCATCATAACATCTTTACAACAATAGGCATCATAACAACTTTACAATAATAGACATCATAACAACTTTACAACAACAGGCATCATAACAACTCTACAACAATAGGCATCATAACAACTTTACAACAATAGGCATCATAACAACTTTACAAGTATAGGAATCTTTATACTACTTAATTAAACAACTAGAGCAACTATAGTCAACACAATAACAACTTTACAACAATGAACACTTTAACTTATACATCTCAACTTATTAATAATTCAACAATAAATGACATAAAAATAACTTAGTTTCACCAAATACACAACATATAACAACTTGTCTTCATCAGGCAACTTAACCACGTTATATACAACTTCTAAAACACAAGAACAGCTACATGCAACCACTAATTTAAATCAATCATCTTTTTTTCTTTCAAACAACTAAAACCCAACTTTTTAACTCAATCCGCACCCAACAACTCAACCATTTCAACAAAAAAACACAATGCATAAAGCTTCCCTAACCTGAATATTGGCTCCTTATAGCCAAGAATTTGGGAATAAGAAAAACTTTTCTCTGAGCTTGACTCCCAAACTTTAATCCTTCAAAATCAAGCATCCTAGCGGACTAGAGTCCTTCTCTCTAAACTTTTCTCCCTCTTTCTTTCCCTTTTTCTCCCTCCTTAACGCCTATTTATAGAGGTCAGGAGTGGCTAGAACGACTCGTTTTAAATCCAGAACGGCCCGTTTTGGGCTCCTTCATCATGTGTAAAATTCACATGCAGAACGGCCCATTCTGAAACCAAAACGGCCCGTTCTAGCACGTTTAGAACGACCCGTTCTGAATCCAGAATGGCCCGTTCTAGAATTGAATTTAACTCACAATAACCACATTTGGAACGGCTCGTGCCAGTCTAGGATTTATAGGCCAATTTAGTAGTTTGGAACGGCCTGTTCCAGTTTGGGTACGGCCCGTTCTAGGCTACTAAATCACCCATCGCTTTCTGAAATACTTACTACGTTATAATACCCCCCAACAAACAGGAATTTTCGTCTCCGAAAATAGACTTACTTGGGAATAAAGAAGAATATTGCTCTCTACACTACTGCTCAATCTTCCCAAGTAGCCTCACCAGTAGCTGCATCCCAAAGAACCTTCACCAATCCAGTGGACTTTCCCTTCAACTCCTTCAACTTGAAATCAATCACAACTACCAATCTCTTCTCATAAGTCAGGTTCTCCTTGACCTGAATCTCATCCAACTCAACTACATGACTCGAGTCATGGACATACTTCCTCAACTGTGAGACATGAAACACACGTTCCCCCTTAGCAAAATCCAAAGGCTTTCACCTTTCATTAATATATGATTTTTATATACTATAGGCAGTCTTCATACTCTCTTGAATCAACTTTACTTTCGTAGTAGTTTGTAGGACTAACTCCAACCCCACAACCACTAATTCATTATCTTGGTACCAACACAGAGGAGTCCTACACCTGTTACCATACAGGGCTTCAAACGGTGCCATCCCGATACTAGCATGAAAGTTATTGTTATACGTAAACTCTACCAGTGGTAGGACTTCCTCCCAACTCCCCAAGTAGTCTAGCACACAAGCCCTCAATAAATCTTTTAAGGACTGAATTATCCTCTCTGACTAACCATCCGTCTATGGATGATAAGCAGAACTCAATCTTAACCTCATGCCTAAAACTTGGTGTAGACTCTGCCAAAATTTGAAAATGAACCTCGAATCCCTATCTGAAATAATACTGGAAGTCACCCCATGCAACCGTACTATTTCCTTCACATACAACTACGTCAACTTCTCCAAGGACTACTTGCTATTGACAGGCAAGAAATGCGCACACTTGGTCAATCCGTCAACAATAACCCAAATAGTATCACTATTCCTAACTGACTTAGGCAACCCAATTATGAAGTCCATAATGATACTATCCCACTTCCACTCTAGGATCTCCATCATCTGCAAAAATCCACTAGGGTTCTGGTGCTCAACCTTTGCCTTCTAACAGGTCAGACAGGCCGCCACATATTCAACAATGTCCCCCTCCATACCAGATCACCATATAGTCTTCTTAAGGTCTTGGTATATCTTAGTCATACCAGGATGTATGCTAAGTCTACTCTTGTGGCCTTCCTCCAAAACAACTTTCTTCAACTTAGTGTTATGAGGTAGGAAAATTCTGCCCTTAAACCTCAAAATTCCATCTCCACCTAACTCAAAACCAACTTCCTTTTCAGTACCCAGCAACAAAAAAAAAACCTTCATCAACTCAGGATCTTACAACTGCTTCAACCCAACTTGCTTCAAGAACTCATTAGCTATGGTAGTCATTCCGCAACTAATGTGGTCTTGAGCCAACTCTACATAGAGATTCAAATCTCTGAATTTCTCAACCAGCTCCAACTCTTTCACCATCAAACTAGACATGTGGATGAATTTGTTACTAAGAGCATCTGCCACTACATTGACCTTCCCTAGATGATACATCAACTGAAAGTCATAATCCTTCAAAAATTCCATCCACTGTTTCTGCCTCATGTTTAGCTCTTTCTAATCAAATAAGTACTTCAAGCTCTTGTGATCACTGAAGATGTTGAACTTAGCACCATAAAGATAGTGCCTCCCTATCTTCAAGGAAAAAAATAACAGCTACCAACTCCAAGTCATGAGTAGGATAATTCCTCTCATGGTTCTTCAATTATCTTAAAGCATATGCCACTACTTTCCAGTTCTGCATCAACACACACCCCAATCCCTGGTGAGAAGTATCACAATACACCTCAAATGGCTCACTAGGATCAGACAACACCAACATAGGAGAAGTAGTCAACCTCTTTTTTAATTCTTCAAAATTATGTTCACATGCATCTGTCCAAATGAAAGGTTGATCCTTTCTAGTCAACTAGGTTAGAGGCATAACTAATTTAGAGATTTCCTCAATGAACCTCCTATAGTAACCCGCTAAACCCACAAAGCTCTAAATATCCGTGACAATTCTTAGGCATTCCCACTATAACACCGACTCTACCTTAGCTGAATCAACTACAATTCCTTCTGCTAAAATAACATGACCCAAGAACTTCACCTCTTCCAACTAGAATTCACATTTTGACAACTTTGCATACAACTATTTTTCTTTCAAAATTTCCAACACCAACCTCAAGTGCTCTCCATGTTCCTCTGGGGTTCTTGAAGAAATAAAGATGTCATCAATGAACACCACCACAAATTTATTCAAGAAAGGCCAGAAAATTCTGTTCATGTAATCCATGAACACTGCCGGGCATTGGTCACCCCAAACGGCATCACAACGTACTCATAGTGATCATACCTAGTCCTGAATGCAGTCTTAGGTATGTCACTCTCCTTCACCCTGATCTGGTGATATCCTGACCTTAAGTCAATCTTCAAAAATACCGATGCTCCCTTTAATTGATCCATTAAGTCATCTATCCGAGGAAGTGGATATCTGTTCTTAATGGTCAATTTGTTTAACTGTCGATAATCAACACACAATCGACTACCTCCATCCTTTTCCTTCACCAAGAACACAGAAGCACCCCATGGAGATACACTCGGCCTCACCAATTGTTTATCTAATAACTTTTTCAACTATCTCTTCAATTCAACCAACTCTGCTAGGGCCATCCTATAGGGAGCAACCAACACTGGCCCTGCACCAGAAACCAAATCAATGCTAAACTTATTCTCCCTAGTAGGAGGTAACCCAGGTACTTCATCCAGAAACACCTCTAAGAATTCCCACAATAACATTTCAGCTTGGTTGGCTAAAATCAACAATTCATCCTCCACCTGAGGAAAACTAACTCCCTATTAACACAATCCATAAGGATGTGATTGGCAGACAACCAATCCATCCCTAAGATTATGTCAATATCTACTAAAGGCAAAATAGATCAAGTTTACCATATACTTCATATCACCTATCTCTAGAGAACAACCAACATACATCTCAAAAGCAACAACAAAAGTAGAAGAGGGCATAGGCACAAGCAGTCTCAACCCCAAATCGTATACATGCAAACTTCCTACACTTCCAGGCATTAAAGATAGCCTGTAAATAAAAACGAGCCAAATGCTCAAACCTCATCGCATAATTTGAAACTGACAAGCTTCCCTAGTGTAACCTCATAAACTCCGCCTCCTTGGTATGTCTCTCACTCTCTGGAAAATACTTCTCGAGGAACACCCTCTTGAAGCATTCCCAATCAACCACCACTCCTCTAGCAACCAACATCTGATGAGTGCCCCTCCACCAATACTCAACTTCCTCAACCAGCATATAAATGGCATAAGCCAACTTCCTTTCCTGAGAACATCCCAACACTGTAAATATTTTCTCCATCTCACACTGCAAGAAACTTGTTTGTTTGCGGCGGTTTTTTAGTAAGAGCGGCGGCAGTTTTGACCGCCACTAAATTATATTGCGGCAATTTCTAAACCGCCGCAATATCGTGCGTCGGGACTTCATTTTGCGGCGGTTTTTTAAACAGCCACACAAACATCCGCAATATATTTGATAAAATTGCGGCAGTTATGAAAGTGTCGCTATTTTGGAAACCGATATAAGTTAAAAATTAGTGGCAGTTTTAAACCGCCGCAAATGTAAACGCACATTTTACAGTTCTTATCCAATTTGCAATTAAATGTTTATGATAATTACATTTTTCAACCTGTTTATTTAAATTCTCATCTCAAACATATGTGATAAAGATAAACTAATACAAATGATGCAAATAGAAGCGTCATTCATTAACTAAAGATATTAAATCCAAATTTAGTACATAATAGATTTGCATCTTTCAAACATAGAAATAGTCCTTAAAATTAAGAAACTTAGATACATAAAAACAACGAAAATATAAAGATGGTCCTAAAAGCTCCTAATAAACTAAAATTGAAGCAATTCTAAATAGTCCCTCATGATGACCCTCCATTGTCTTCAGGAACATGGCTAGACTCAGAAGAACGTCTCAAATCTGCTGGTGATCCCAATTCAGCTGCTTGAAATTAAAATAATCACAACTTAGATTCAAACTTTTACTTGGAAAATAAAAATTATGAATTTTTAAATACTTTATTTTTTACCTGATTTCCTTTAACAATTTGCATAAGGAAAGCTAATTATTCCTTCAAAACATCAACTTCACCAACTCGTGACTTAAGCACTTCAACTTTAGATTGCAATTGTGCTATTGTGGCCGCATCTGATGAAGATCCAGACCTTGTAGAGGAAGAATATGATCCAATGATTTGAGTCAGAGTAACCCCAAGTCCCATGCCTCGAACATATCCGGGATGCTCCTTTCCAAACACTTTCAAGAATGCCTCATTCTCAGAAGAAGTCTCCTGAATTTCATTATGCAATTGTTCCTACATATAATGTTGAATATATAGATAAATAGTAAAATATTACATATATGAGTTAAGAGTAAATGGTAATTGAAAATTACAAATAATATATTGTACTCACATATTTTTCTCTAGCATCTTCGCTCACAAATGAACCATCCTTTTTTTTATGAGCAATAGGATACATATCTCCTCTACTATAATGTCGTCCATATTGCACTTCCTAACATTTTGCACCATTCCAAAAGTAATTATACAAACAATTCATTTTTTAGTTTCTTCAAACAAAATATACTAAATGAACTTTTCATACCAACTCATCCCTTTTTCTTGCTAATGTATTTGATCCTAGAGTGTGTGGGATCAATAACTTTTCACGATTTGCTACATTTTTATCAGATATCTCCTACATTTAACAAAATTGAAAGTCAATATATGTAACCAAACTTATAACCAATGGAAGATGAAAACATATTACCATTTGTTTAGGACTTGTCCTAAATTGTACAAAAAGCCTCCAATGGTCTGGGTCAATCTCTAGTGGGTGCATCTGACAATTTTCTTCCACATAAATCTCCAAGTTATAATTTTTGTGAAACAACCTACATCGAGTGTCCCTCCATTTCTTTCCCAACCTAGCTAAGATATATTTCTTATGCTCTTGATCATTTACATCAAATTTTGCCTTTACCATAATAAAATGAAAGTTATCATTAGTACACAAATTCCATAAGAAATCACATGTGTGCAATCAATTATAATTGATACCTTTATAGTTTCTTTATAAACATTGTTTTTGTAATCTTTTGGAACCTTCTTCCATGTCTCATACATTATGGGGAAATTACTAAAGTTGCTTACAATTTCACCCAAAAATCCTGCTAATAAACCAGCAGACTCTCCTATTGGTTGACCTTCAGCATTCCACTTGGTACACACCTTAGTGGCATCACGTGATGCAAACACATCTTACACCCTTAAACGTGTTTGCCTAACAACACCCTCCTCATCTAACATGTAAATAAACCAAACATCAACAACCCAACAAGTTTTACAATAAATAATAATAAGGAGATAAGAAAAATTAGATTAAACATACCAATAACATCAACATTCCAATAGGTAGGGGATTTTTTCTGAGCCACAGATGAATCTTCAACCACATCAGATTCATGCTGTGTCGACCTCCTAGATGCGGTGCGAGTGGGCGAAGTAGGATGTATGTCATCTTGAGAAGATGATTCAATGTTTGGCATGGGCTCACTTTGAGGTAGTTGAACCTTTACACTTTGATGAGTGCCCGTGGAGGAATTGTTTTCTTCATTCGATGTGGATCGACACCTAGCCACAACATGTCTTCTTGTACGAGGCATACATGCATAAACCAGTCTTTTGTCTTTAATAACTAAAAGTAGAAGATAAACATACAACTACTATGAAGTTTAAACCAAACATTGTACAAAACAAATATAGGTTTCTTACTCATGACTCTTATTAAACCATATCTTGATTATCTTCATCAAAATTTTCATTAATGGTTGAATTTTCAGGATCATCATCTATGGTCACCCTTGCCAATTGTATATGTGTGGCATCATTAGGAAATATTTGTTCCAAGTTCTGTGATGGGTATGCCTCAATGGATGCCATATATTCTTCATCATCTTCACCCATGTCATAAAAGTCCCTAGGTTTCAAATGAATCGGTATGCTCCAACCTTGTTCTTTCTCATCCTCTACATAATAAACCATTTGAGCTTCATAAGCTTAAATGTATGGTTCATCGTCATCTTTTTCACCAGTATGTATTAGTCTTGCAAAGTTAACAGAGATAAAACCCAACTTAACTTCCTTCATGCCTCTTGAAGTAGTGGTATCAGCCCATTCACATTTAAACATGGGTACTGTGAACCCATTATAGAAAATCTCAATGATATCTATCAATCTTCCATAATATGGCACTCCTCCAAATCGCATTTGGGCATCATTATTGCTTGAGTAGCTTCTTGTTCCAAATGTGCCAAAAACTCCACTATTTTGAGTTTTTAAAAATTTGTCTCGTGTTAAAGTTCGAAATTTGTATCCATTAACGTTAAATGCCGTGAACCTTCTAGCTCGGTCAAACGGACCTTGCGCAAGACTAATAAGAACATCTTTATCTGGTTCGTTAAGACTGTCAAGATTATTTCCAACCTAATGCCATAATACATATTGTTAGTCAAATTCTTATTAAAAATAAATATATTGAACTTGGAATGCATAAGCACTTACGCGATTAGAAAACCAACGAACAAAATCTGTATGAACCCTCTTGTCTACCTCGGCAACATTCCTTGCACCACCCCTTAACTGCCTTCGTAGAATATTTCTAAATTTCCTATTTGGTTATATCATATTAGATATACGAAAAAAAAAAGAAAGAGAACTTAATAATTCATCCAAGTGAAATAATTACTTACTGAAGATAGTAGTCAACCACAGGGCAATTTGTTAACACATGTCTATGAGCTTGTAACTTCTCCTTGGGGGTAAGGGTAAAATATGAAGAGCCACCAACAGGTTTTCCAACCATGGGAAATAATTCACTTACTTGTGATTCAGATTGTCTATCATAAGGCTCATCATCTACACGACCAGGTCGATTCCATCTTGTCTTAATGTTATCTAAATACCTTGAACAAAATGTAAGAATCTCTTAGTGACCCGAAGGTACACCTTGTTAGCTCATATATGCACATGATGCATGTCACACGTTCACAAACTCATGGACTCATCACTTCACTCGTCATGAAATTTCGTCTTATCACATTTCACATTCTCATAATCATAGCTTATCTCATCTCATCACATTTCACATCTCCATAGTCATAGTGTTCACATTAGCACATTCTCATTCACATCATATCTCATGTCATTTGTTCATATTTCACACAATCTTACTCATAATTGTTCCTCATAGGGTTTCGCACAGGAACCCACAAAACACTCTAATTTATATCAAAACATATCTAATTTTGAAATCAAATACATATTTACACTCTACATCACACAAGGAACGCAACAAAGCATTCAAAAAGCAAAACAGAAAACATTCATATTTTTTCTGTTTCTCATAGGGTTCTTTCAAGAACCCACAGAGCACTATAATTCATATCAAAACATATTTATTCTCAAGATTAATTACGTATTCACGCATTACATCCAACATGGAACATAACAGAACAATCAAAAGACAAAATAGAAAACATTCATATTTTGCATGTTCCTAGAAGCATGCATCAAGCAAGGGATTGGGGGCCAATTCTACTACCTAACAATTATTTCCACACCCCGAGCGAGGTTTCTCACTCCCCCTTACCTGGATGAGAAGAAGACGAAGCTAGAGCGAAATCTGGTCGATCTCCTTCTCTTGGTTCTCCTTAGTCTCTAGAGAGTGTGTCCAGAAACATTGCCAAAGTGCTCTATTTATAGATTTCAAGAGTGGCCAGAAAGGCCCATTTCAAATTCGGAACGACCCTTTTGGATCATTTCATCATGTATTAAATTCTCATCTGGAAAAACCCGTTCTAAAATCAGAACGACCCTTTCTCAACTAGGGTTTCAAGCCTTTTTGGTGCTTTGGAACGCCCCGCTCTAATTTGGGAACACCCCGTTCCAATTTGGGAACGCCCCATTCCAATTTGGGAACGACCCATTCTAGGCTACTAAATCACGCTTTTTTTCGTAGTTTGGAACGACACGTTCCAATTTGGGAACGGCCCGTTCTGGGCTACTAAGTCACCCTAAAAATTACTAAAGTACCCTCAATAAAAAAGCATGGAAACTGGGGTGTTACAATATGGTACATGATGATGATCTTGATAATGCGCATGAATTACCACAAGTTCGAGGTCCAACAGGTTGAGACAATCATCGTCCAAGTATTCTTCTGATGAGTATGTGACCTTGATTGATGGAGGTTAACCTGAGTATTTTGAAGAGGCTTTGGAAAGTGAAGAAAAGTAACAGTGGTTGGATGCAATGCAAGTTGCGATAAAATCTTTGCATGATAATCACACTTATGACTTGGTAAAACAAGAAAGTAATTCTACATCTCCGAGGTACTGTTACACCCTTCTGCCCCATAATAGATAAGTAACAACAATAAGAATAATTCAATAAATATAACATCAAGAAGGGTCCACATATTTTAATAAAAACTCATAGGTTCACAAGTCTTGAAATAAATAGAAATAATAATAATAATAATAATGTTTTACTCTTAAAAGAAAATTATCAAGGTCTCTAAAGAAAAATGAAAGGGATCCAGAATTTACAAATATAAGGTGAATATAAAACTCCTAAAAATAAGTCTCCTCAAACGACAAATAACAATTCATAACTAAAGCATCCTAAATTCATGCCCCAATGTCACATCCTATCAGAGCACTTTTTAAGCACTTGGTCCTTCCTCTACAATGCATAGACCCATAGCTTCTTGGAACAATCATCAATAAAAGTAACAAAGTAAAGTGCAACACTAAATGACTTTACCTTCAATGGGCCACAAACATCAGAATGCACCAATTCAAGCAACTTTGACTTCCTTGAGGAAAGATGTTTCTTAAAGGATACTCTGGTTTGTTTACCAGCCATGAAATGAGAACATTTCTCCAACTCTGCACTCTTCAATCCCAAAAGCACATTCTTTTTAGCCAAGCAATTAAGTCCCTTTTCACTGATATGACCAAGCCTTCGGTGCCACAAAGAAGCCTCCATATACATAGCATTCACACTATCCTTAGCAACCAAAGCTTTAGTCCAATACAGTTTAGAATTTTTCTCCCCTCTAGCCACAACCAAGTTACCTTTGGTGAGTTTCCACTTTCCAGAGCCAAAGTGGTTATCATAACCACCATCATCATGTATATGCACAAAGATCAAATTAAAATGAACATCAGGAGCATGTTTGACTCTTTTAAGCAACAAATGCGTTCCCATGTTGGTTTGCAGGCAAACATCACCAACACCAATCACTTTAGACACACCATCATTACCCATCTTCAACACTCCAAAATCACCAGAAGTGTAAGATGTGAAGAACTCCTTCCTTGGTGTAACATGCAGTATAGCACCATTATTAACAATCCACATGCTCTCATCTGATACAAGATTAATTAACCCATGGTTACTAAGAATAACAAGATCACCACAAGTAGCAGTAGCAACACGATCATCATCATCATGATCCTTCTCTTTCTACTTACCCTTCTTGCCTTTATTCTCCTTTTTCCATAGAAAACAATTCTTTTGGATATGCCCAGGTTTATTACAATAATAAAACTCCACATTCTTGTATCTTGACTTGGACTCGCTCCTACTTTTCTCTCTACCACCCTTTGGTTCTTTTTTCTGACTTCTCCCCCTATTTTCTATGATAAGCACCTCAGACTGAGATCAAGAACCCCGTGACTTCCTTCTCATCTCTTCATTAAGGGCACCACTTTTTGTTGCTTGCAAAGAAACAACACCTTTAGGGACCGAGTTGGTAATAGAAACTTGAAATGTCTCCCAAGACTCAGGTAAAGTATTCAGTAGCAAAATTGAGTTTTCAAATAGTTTAATGGAAATAGCATCCTAAATTAAGCCTAGTTATGCCCCGATGTCACATATTCTATCAGAGTATGCCCAAATGAAGCCTAAGCCTCACCACCAACATCCTCATGTTGATGATCACCTGCAACACAATTCAAACACAGACAAATAACAACAAGGGAGTGAGAAACATCTCACTTGGTTCCAGATGTAGAAATAACAGTTAGGTAACTCACACAAATCATACAATCACAGTCATAGCTACTCATTAATCAGATGCAAATTCAATGTTAACATATAATACATACACAGTCATTCATCATGCAAGGATGTCATGGACTCGACTCATAAATGTATGCATGTGGCGCCAGTCACGTATCTCATGTTCACATTTTTCATCATATCATCTCATCATATCATCATGTTACATCGTGGGTGACCCAAGGTTCACCTTGTTAGCATGTTATGTCATGGGTGACCCAAGGTACACCTTGTTAGCATGTTACATCGTGGGTGCCCTAAGGTACACCTTGTTAGCATGTTACGTCATGGGTGACCCTAAGGTACACCTTGTTAGCATGTTACATCACTATAACCCTAAGGTACACCTTGTTAGCTTGTTACATCACCAGTGATCCTAAGGTACACCTTGTTAGCTTGGTACATCACCAGTGACCCGAAGGTACACCTTGTTAGCTCATATATGCACATGATGCATGTCACACGTTCACAAACTCATGGACTCATCACTTCACTCGTCATGAAATTTCGTCTTATCACATTTCACATTCTCATAATCATAGCTTATCTCATCTCATCACATTTCATAGAACAAAAACCTAATGCAGAGATTAGAGCTGCTAAAGATGGAATACTCACCAAAAGAGAGGCAGAGCAAAGCAAACACTGTCAGCCCTTGAAATCGTCGCCGTAAGCCCTTCAACCTGTCGCTGTTAGCTCGTGAGCAATGTCCACAGCAGAAGAGCAAAGGCGTGACTCTTGGGCAGGGTAGAAGCGTGACTATGAGGGAAGGAGAAGAAGAAGAATAGAGTGGGGGTTAGGTTTCTAAGGTGTTTCTGATGAGAGGGGGGAACATTTGGCTCTAAAAATTTTAACTTAGCTACGGAGGTTCTATATTAACCACCGGAGAATAATAAAAAATTGCGTCTGTTTGCTCAAACCGCCGTAAATTTTAACTAAATAATAAAGCGGCAGCGGTTTTTTAAAACCGCCGCAAACTTTGTGACGTAATTCCTTTTTTTTGGTGTAGTGTCATAGATCTAGTGGTTAGCTATCTTTGGGTCTGCATCACCTTTGAATTGTCCAAATCTCGACTCTCCTGTGACCTAACTAGTCTTACTACACCAGCCACAGCTCTCTCAGCATCCATCCTAACAAAGTAGGCATTCTGTTGTTGCATAGCCATAGCCATCATCTCCATGGCATGGGCTATCTACTCATTTGCTCTAGGCATCTACTACAAAATGAACAACTCATTCAACACACTACATCTCAACTACTTAACACAAATCAACACAATATTCAACACAACACAGAGTTTAACACAACAAAAGCCTAAAAGAACCACCCCCACAGAGTATCCACTAGACTCGAACTGCTCTGATACCATAAAAGTGTAACGACCCTCCAGGTCTCACATTGTCTATAGTGTTCAAATACAAGTATAAAATAAAATCTGACTACTAAAAAATTATATATATAATGAGAATACACAACTAAAAAGTCTCATAATATATATAACTAAAAGTAGGAAATAATACCCTATACAACAACTAGGTAGTCAAAAGCTACCAATCAACTAAATATAACGTCAGCCCTCCTCCTAAGTCCCAACCAAAAAGAAGCTCACCCACTCCAGCAGAGCACCTAATCCTGATCTGCTCGCATACCAAGGTATGGTCATCGCAGTCCCAACCGCATAGGGAAAACAGGCTAGGGTAAGCTCACAACAATAATCATAAAAAATTAGCATCAACATATAATAAACAGTAATAAAATTCTACTTTCAACTTGCAACTTAAAGCAACACAACATTTACAATAATAGATATACAATATCATCTACTAGCAACAACATTTTCAACACACAACACTTTATTCAAATTGGCCGCTTGTAATCGGTATAGCTCGGCCTGGCCCCTATACCGTGGTCATTTCATACACGTGTGCCTCGACCTTGCCCACACACGGGACCAACCAAGTCCTAGAGGAGAACAACACATCATCCACTCCAAGGGACAACTTTCCAAGGAGGGTTTTTAAACAAATTGGGCTCTTAGAGCACAACAACTATCTCAATCCGCACAATAGGATTAGCAAATTTGAAAACTTCTCCTCTAGTCCTAGTGATCAACAACTCATGACAACACAATCACATAGTATTTATCACAATAGCTCAACTATCAACTCATTCATCAACATTATATACAACTTGAATGCAACAACCCATGCAACATCAACTAATGTGTCGTCATGCATATACAACTAGGAGATCTCCAAAAATCGAGGTTGAGCAGTCTAGGTGGCATAAATCCTACCGAATCTAGTGTTTGACCTATCTCAACCAGGTCAGGTATAAGACATCGTTAGGAACTCCGAAGAGAACCAGGTATAGACAACAATAGGCGATTGCTCAGGTGTGCTACTTAGACTCGAAGGTCTAGTACTACTGTCAAGACAGAAGGGTTTGGGTATGAGCCTACCACGACCTTGGCTGGCATCACCAATTCACATATAGAGTTAACCCACCCACTGTCCTCCAAGTACCACACACCCTCCAGTACCTAGTCAAAGACTACATCTCTAACTAGATACCTTACTCAAATTGGTCATTCAACCATGACATGGATCGACTACTTCCATGTTGTCTACACAATACTAAGGGACTCAACTTAAAACAACTTTCAACTTATCACCTTAGTGCTATGTATCTCAACATAGGACATATATCTTCACCATATGTCCCCAACTTTGCAAATTTACAACAATAGGCAGCTTTACAACTTTACGATAATAGACAACTTTACAACAATAGGCATCATAACAACTTTACAACTATAGGCATCATAGCAACTTTACAACAATAGGCATCATAACAACTTTACAAAAATAGGCATCATAACAACTCTACAACAATAGGCATCATAACAACTTTACAACAATAAGAATCATAACAACTTTACAATTATAGGCATCTTTATACTACTTAATTAAATAACTAGAGCAACTATAGTCAACACAATAACAACTTTACAACAATGAATACTTTAACTTATACATCTTAACTTATTAATAATTCAACAATAAACGACATAAAAACAACTTAGTTTCACCAAATACACAAGATATAACAACTTGTCTTCATCAGGCAACTTAACCATGTTATATACAACTTCTAAAACACAAGAACAGCTACATGCAACCACTAATTTAAATCAATCATCTCTTTTTCTTTTAAACAACTAAAACCCAACTTTTTAACTCAATCCGCACCCAACAACTCAACCATTTCAACAAAAAAACACAATGCATAAAGCTTCCCTAACTTGAATATTGGCTCCGAATTGCCAAGAATTTGGGAATAAGAAAAACTTTCCTCTGAGCTTGACTTCCAAACTTCAATCCTTCAAAATCAAGCTTCCTAGCGGACTAGAGTCCTTCTCTCCCTCTTTCTTTCCCTTTTTCTCCCTCCTTAACGCCTATTTATAGAGGTCAGGAGTGGCTAGAACGGCCCGTTTCGAATCCGGAATGACCCTTTCTGGGCTCTTTCATCATATGTAAAATTCACATGCAAAATGGCCCGTTTCCAACCCAGGACGGCCCGTTCTAGAGTTGAATTTAATTCACATGCAACAACGACGTTTGGAACGGCCCATTCCAGTCTAGGATTTATAGGCCAATGTAGTAGTTTGGAACGGCCCGTTCCAGTTTGGGAACGACCCGTTTTAGGCTACTAAATCACCCATCGCCTTCTGAAATACTTACTACGTTACAGGAATCATCCTTACTACTATAAAGTTATAAATTTGTATTCTCTTTAGTTAACAAAGCATGAATAAAATTATCAAAGTTATCTTTATCCTTCCTTATAGTTTCTTGTTGTTCTCTCTGATGGTAGAAATATAGGAGTAGTGATATTATAACTTTTAATTCTCTAACATTGGTGAGACTTACAAGAAACTATAAAAAAAGATAAAGATAACTTAAATATTTTTCATTCATTCCTAAAAAGAATACAAATTTATAACCTAATAGTACTAAGAATGATCCTACAAGTATCATCATCCTATTTTGAAAATAAAAAATAACATAATACTAAATACAAATATATACATATATATATATATATATATATATATACTAATATTCTAAAACCAACCTTTAATATAATTCAACCATTTAATTTTATCTCTTTAGGACCTTCCTATGCCATCCTATTATGGTATATGTTCAGAAACATGTAATTTTCGTCATCATCTTACCCTTTCTATTATTTTATATACTGAAATTAGATTTTATGCAGAAAAAGGTGATGCTAAAAGTGAAGCCTATAGTTGAAGAAAGTCTCGTAAGGTTGTTGTCCAGCACCAATTTTAAAAGTAATTTGAAAGTGGCAGATTTAGGCTGTTCTTCCGGACCAAATGCGCTTATGGTTTTGTACGATATAATCACTATCATTAATAACCATAAAGTGAGCTTAAATCAAGATGCTTCTGCGACTGTGCTCCAAATTTATCTCAACGATCTATTTGAAAATGACTTCAATAACATCATGAAGTTGCTTCCTAATTTCTACCACAAAATAAAAGAGATGGGAGATAAAGTTAGTACATGCTTTATACATGTAACGCCGGGAAACTTTTATGGAAGGCTCTTTCCCAATAATCACATTCACTTTTTTCATTCCTCCTATAGTCTCCATTGGCTCTCGCAGGTCACTATATGTAGCAAAAAAAATATAATTGAGTTATGTTAATATTCTCTGTTTTTGCTAAACTAACATTATGTTATGTTTTTTCTTCGGAATAGGCTCCTGAAGAGTTAACCAATGGTGTAGAACCTTTAAACAAGGGCAATACATATATAACGACCACAAGCAGTCCAACTGTCTATAAAGCATACTTTGAGCAATTTCAAAGAGATTTCAAACTTTTCCTAAAATCACGCTCTGATGAGCTAAAACCTTGTGGTGTTATGGTACTAACTTTCATAGGCAGAGAAAAGGCTCACGAAATTAGTAGTCCTTGGGTGGTGATTGGGGTGGTCCTCAAAGATATGGTGTTAGAGGTAATTAATTGAAGTAATGAAGTTGATTATTATTAATATAGGGTTTAATAGAAACCAATCGTAAAATAGTTATTTTTGTTGTTATTTACTTGTGACTTGCCTTTTTTTAATAAATAATAATGCTTTACAATCATATTTCAGGGTTTGGTTGAAGAGGCAAAGTTGGACTCCTTTAATCTATCTATATATGGTCCTACAATAGAGGAAGTTAGACAAGTCATTGAGGCAGAAGGGTCTTTTACCCTTCAAACTTTGAAAACTTTCAAAATAGGTTGGGATGCAAACCTTCAGGAGGAAGTTGTTGATTTTGTTCTTGATAGCAAAATGAGAGGAGAGTTCATAGCTAAGTCCATTAGATCTGTTTTTGAACCTCTTTTAACCGTTGAGTTTGGCAAAGATATCATGGATGAATTATTCTTAAGGTTTTCGAAAAAGGTTTCACAACTCATAGCGTTGGATACATTGGAGTACACAAATTTGGTCATGTCCATGAGAAAAAAGTAAGATGATTAATTATAGAAGCAAGTGAAATACTATTTAAATTTGAGCTCCAAGAGACTTGTTGAAAGAATTGTGTAAGTTATTTAGAAATTCGTAGTTGACAAAGAACTAAACGTAGTATTGTGAGATCTGTATAAGTTTTTTGTGTAATTTATCGTATTTTAAACCTTCTTTAACTAGTGTTTTTAAAAAAGATTTTGGCAAAAGATTCTTTTCATCAACGACGATGCAATGATGATTTCAAATTCGGATTATGACACTTGTAACAACTTACTTAAGTCAATATATATATGACTTAGATGTGTGTAATGTAATGATGAGATTGAATGCGTACCTCAGTTTAATAATCCCCTGTATATAGAGTCATTTAGGAGGAGGGGTAATTTGCTGCATCAATTATATCACATGAGCATTGTCATTATTGTTTATTTGTCAAGTGTCATATATTTTGTTTAACATAAGGCTTGAGTTTTTAGTGAAAAATAAACTCATGCAAATATGTTTTGTATATGATTTTTATATTTTGACAAGTAAATTTATAATATTGAATGTTTTATTAGTTAAATATTATGTCATAATAATGTATTTTACTAGCTGTCTAATGTAATTCTTTTTAATTAATTAACTTTTTTTTATAATTTTAATAATAAATATAATAATCTAATCTAAATATAGTTGAATTGGATGAGATGTACTCGCATTTCAATTATTTATCATATTGTTTAAATATTTTTAGGGTGTTAATTATTTTTAGTTTAAGAACTTTATATATTGTTCAATTATGAGGTTTTCATGATTTAAATAAATTATTATAGTTTATACTTCTTTATAGTAAAATTTTGGATAATTATAGTTTTCCTAGAAAATAATTATAGGATATGGTGGACAGTGGTGGCCAGCCATATATACTATAAACTACCTGAAATTATTTGAAGTTATAAAAGTAGAAAGATTGAAAATTAAAAAAAAAACAAGAACAAAAAGATTTATAGTGGTTCGAAATAAATTTAATTTCAGTACTCTTCAAGGTACTTGCAGGCCTTTTATTATTAGAGACTTCAAGAACTTTACAAGAGATAAATTTCTCACACTTGATTCTTCCTTTTCAATAAAGGATACCTCACCGTGGTAATTTGTGCACCATCCATGGAACACCTAGCTAAGCCATTATATAGAAGGAGATAACAAGCCTAAAGTTAGTTATCAAAAAAACATTATTAACTTGATAAAAAAAAAACTCAAGGCTTCTCCAACTAACACTTAACTAAAAACAATATATTGACATTTATAAAAGAGACAACTAAGCCTATAATGAAGATCCACCCAATTCTAAAATTCTCCACCTTGGGTCTTTATGAACAGCTTGAGCTCAAATAGATGTCCAAGATTATGGTTTGAAGCTTTATTCACCAGGTCTTCGAATGCTTAATAAGTCTAGGAAATGTTCAAACTTATAAGCAGGGATATATCTACAAGATTATTTTCAGTGCCAATTTTTCTGATTGAATCACACCTTTTGCAATGATGTCACAGATGAAATGGAACCTTACATTTATGTGTTTTGTCCTCTCATGGAATGTTTGGTTCTTAGAGAGACATATAGCACTTTGGCTATCACACATAACCTTAGTCTTCAATTCCTTTCCTTCCAACTCCTCTACAAACCCTTTCATCCAAATAGCTTCCTTTATGGCCTCAATCAAAGCAATGTATTCATATTCAGTGGTTGATAAGGCCATAACAGATTGAAGATTTGCTTTCTAGCTAACTACATTTCCATACAGAGTGAAGATGTAGCCAGTTATAGACCTTCTCTTGTCTATATCACCTGCATAGTCAGCATCTACATATCCAGTTATTTGATTGTTGTTAGTTTCTAATTTCATGAACCTCTATCCAATATCTAGAGTCCTCTTCAAGTATTTGAACATCCACTTGACTGCCATCCAGTGCTCTTTTCCTGGATTTCCCATAAATCTACTAATAAGACTTGCTCCATAAGCTATATTAGGTCTAGAATAGGCCATGGCATACATCAGGCTACCTATTGCATTAGCATATGGAATATTACTCATGAATTTGTACTCTTCTTCATTGTTGGGAGATTGATTTGAAGACAATTTGAATTGACCAACAATAGGAGTAGAAAAAGGTTTTGCATTGAACATATTGAACCTTTTCAACGTAGCTTCCTTGACTAAGATGAATTGTGCCTTTGCTTCTGTCCCTCACAATGTCCGTACCCATAATCCTTTTTGCTTCTCCTAAGTCTTTCATTTTGAATTATGAATTCATAACTTGCTTTAGTCTTTTAATAGCTTCAACATCTTTACTAGCTATTAACATATCATCTACATATAAGAGTAGATATATGCAATTCCCTGTGAATTCCCTCTTGAGATGGACACAACTATCCTAAGAACTTCTCTGATATCTTTTAGACACAACAAAACTATCAAACCTCAGGTACCATTTCCTTATAGACTGTTTGAGTCCATACAATGATTTCTTAAGCAAACAGACCATGTTTTCTTTACCTGCCACTTTATGTCCTCTAGGTTGTTTCATGAATATCTCTTTATCAAGCAAACCATGTAAAAATGTTGTCCTTACATCAATTTGATTGTTTTAGACTACATGAAGCCACTAAAGCAAGAATCACTCTTATACTAGTGTGTTTGACCACAAGTGATTTTTTTTATTGTAATCTATCCCCTCTTTTTGTGAGAAGTGTAACATCCCAATTTTCAAAATGGTAATTACTATTATTATCACACTTATGACTTGGTAAAACAAGAAAGTAATTCTACATCTCCGAGGTACTGTTACACCCTTCTGCCCCATAATAGATAAGTAACAACAATAAGAATAATTCAATAAATATAACATCAAGAAGGGTCCACATATTTTAATAAAAACTCATAGGTTCACAAGTCTTGAAATAAATAGAAATAATAATAATAATAATAATTTACTTATTAATTCTGATAATAAACAGAATACAACAAAATTCTGTTTGATATTTTCTGCAATTGAGGTTGATATTCAAAGTGAATAGACTTGAGCAAGAAATCTGTTGGACAATTGGTAGTCCTGTTAGTGTAACAGCCATTTTGTGAGATTATTAATTTTTATGTTGGCCATCTGTTTTTAATCGGTAATTCAATTTGGTTGTGAAGGAGATATCAGATAATTCTGCCTTTGTTTTCTACATGTCCAAAGGTTTTTACTCTACTTTTCTATGCATTTAGGATGAAATAGTTTCATTTCCACTCTATGTTGAAGCAATACGCTTTGCCTTTCATGAGGAGAGCATGGTTCGTACTGCTGTCCGTACTGTGACCCTTAATGTTTATCATGGTAAGATACTAAGATTTACTGTTTTATGTGGCCTTTCTCCCTCCAAGTTTCTTTCCTGAACTCAGTTATGTTACGATGCAAAATACTAAATTTTCTGACAATTGTCTGTGCAATTTTCAGTTGGGGATGAATGTGTTAATAGATATATAGCCAGCGCACCTCACACTAATTACTTCTCAAACCTGGTTTCATTCTTTAGGAATCAATGTATGGATTTAAATAGACTGGTCTCTGAGACACTGAAGTAAGACATCATTGCTTCTTTTCTCTTTAGTATATTAACTTCAGATTTCCTTTTTTCCTGATAGAGAAATTATTGTTACTGAGACAGAAATCCAGGTCCAGATTCAACCTCTGCAATTATTGCTGCTGTAGATGAAATTGAGGATAACCTGTATTACTTTAGTGACGTTATCTCTGCTGGAATTCCTGATGTTGGGAGGCTAATAACAGACAGCATTCTGATGCTTCTGATTTTTCCAATTCTTCTTCCTTCCCTGAGATTACTGGATGTTAATGTATGAAACTTCATTTTCTGGTTTCTATGTTCACTGTGATCTAATTTGCATCTGTTCAAGGATCTCTAAAAGATCTTTCTTGGATGGATTTTGATTTAATATTATACAGTGTGTTCTTATTAATGTTTAGTAGCACATTAATCCAGGACATGCAAAGTGGTGTTGTCACTTCTCTCTACTTACTTTGTTGCATCTTAAGGATAGTCAAAATCAAAGATTTGGCAAATACCATAGTCATGGCACTTTTTTATCCCTTAGAGGCCCTTACAACATTTTCTAGGGGTAAAGTCAATGGCTATATATCTGATCGCAGTTTTACATCTGTAAGCCAAGAACCAGATAATGATAATATTGCCAAGTGCAATGCAGAATGCTTGACAGTGAATGTGCCAAACCCTTCTAGTTCTCCAAGTGAATAAGTAAAAATTTTCATGTTATTTTAATATAGATCAAAAAACAACTTTTGTCAAGTCATTTACTTATCTTTTCCTTTGTTTTTATGTTTTGTATATATAGTTTTTATTATTTAATGAAATTTAAGCAAGAACAAAATATTAAATTAGATATATCAATATATCAGTTAATGAAATTTGACTTTTTTTTTTTATACTTTAATGTCATTTTTTGTATACAAGATAATAATAAAATTTGAACTACACTTTGTATAGGGTACACATATTCTCTATAAGAGATATTATATTTATATATATATATATAGGTATAATAATAATAATAATAGTAATAATAATAAATAAAATAAAAAATACTTTTACCTATAGTCAGAGCATGTAAGAATAAGTTAATGTCTTTTACCTACGGTCATAACATGTAAGTACAACTTAATGATATTTACCTATAGTAGGGAGAGAAGCCTTGAGCCACGAGCCTTGCCTTGAATCTGCCTTCTCAACACCAGGAATCTCAGGTTTCTTTTGAAAATCCACTTGCAGCCTATGAGTCTTTGCTTTTCAGGCTTTTCAATAAGTTCACAAGTATGGTTCTTCATAAGAGAATCATACTCCTCCTTCATAGAAACTTTCCAATTCTTACAATCAACACTTAACATGGCTTCTTTATAACTGGAAGGATCAGTGCTAGACTCCTCATGCTCCACTATCAAGGCACATTCTATAATATCTGCATAGTCATACCTCTTAGGAGCTTTTCAATGTCTTTTTTCCCTATCTCTAGTAAACATGTAATCACCTTGGTTTGTTTCAAGTTGAGTTCCTTCAAGTTGGTGAGTGGTGATCTCATCAGATTGCCTTGGGGTAGCTGGCTCCACCTCCAACTAAACTTTCCTTTCTGTATTTGTAATTTTTGTAGCAGTAGGGTCCGGTTTATCAACCTTCATCATGTTCTCTTCTTGGAAGACAACATCTCTGCTTATAAATACTTTTCCTTTTCCAGACTCAACAATCCATACTTTTTATCCTTTCACTCCATTAGGAAACCCGAGGAAAGTCCTTTTCTTTGATCTAGGTTCTAACTTTCCATCATTGGTGTGAATGTATGCATCACAACCAAAAATCCTTAGATGTTTAAGGCTTGGTGGCTTACCTGTTCAAAGTTCCTCTGATGTCTTAAATTGAATGGTTGTAGAAGGAGATCTATTGATGATATATGCAACTATATTAACAGCTTCACCCCAGAATTGTTTGCTGAGATTGGCATTAGAAAGCATGCACCTTACCCTCTCCAAAGTGTTTCTATTCATTCTCTCAGCTAGACCATTTTGTTGAGGAGTCAATCTGACTGTCTTGTGCCTTGTAATCCCATTATCCTTGCAAAATTCGTTGAATTTATCACTGAAGTATTCTAAACCATTGTCCGTCCTAAGCACCTTGACTTGTTTCCTAGTTTGAGTTTCAACCAAAGCCTTCCACTGTTTGAAGATTTTGAAAGCTTGGTTTTTGTGCTTCAGCAAGTATATCCACACTTTCCTTGACCAATCATCAATAAAAGAAATGTAATACCTAGTTCCACCAAGAGATTAAGTTGTAGCGGGTCCCCATATATCATAATGCACATAGTCCAAAATCCCTTTAGAATTATGTGTACCGGTAGGAAACTTAGCCCTTTTTCTGTTTTCCATAAAAACAATAATGTTCACAAAAATCCAATTTTCATAATTGGTTCCTTCTAACAGACCTTGCTTATGCAATTCTTCTAACCCATTCTCACTAATATGAGCAAGTCTAAGATGTCGTAGTCTAATTGAATTATCCTTAGACACAAAATAAGAATTAGCTGAATTGACAATTGTTTTACCTTGCAACCTATAAAGACCATCTTACCTGATTCCTTTCATGATTTGCTTGGATCCCCTTCTGATAACAATTGCATCACTTTCTCCATTGAAAACACACCCTGCCTCACCCAACATGCCAAGCCAAATAATATTTCTCTTAAACTCAAGCACGTGTCTAACTTCAATGAATGTTTTTACAGATCCATCATTTAATTTTATTCTGATAGTCCCTATACCAACTACCTTGCAAGCAATGTCGTTGCCCATTAAAACCCTTCTAGCCTCCACTTTCTTATAAGTATCAAACCAATTCAGATTTGGGGTCATGTGAAAATGCACCCTGGATCCATAATCCATTCTTCACTACATGGTTGATTAGTGACAGTGAGAACATCATAATTTTCATATCCATCTGCCACAGTTGCAAGATCGATTCCTTTATTGCCTTTTCCATTATTCTTTTTCTTTCTTTCAGGACAATCTCTTAGAAAATGGCCTTCATTGTGGCAGAAATAACAAGACTTTTTAGTCTTTGGCTTCTTGTTTGGATTCCTTGATTTATATATTTTCCTTTTTCTTAGATTTCCCCCGAACAAACAAACTTTCTACTTCAACACCTTCTCCCTTTATTTCAAGTATTTCTTCTTGGTCTCCCTAACATTTAAAGTAGATTTAACTTCTTCTTGAGTGAGTGACTCTCTTCTAAACATTATAGTGTCAACAAGATTATCACATGATGGTGGGAGAGAACATAACAACATTTTGGCTTGATCCTCTTCGTTAATCTCCACATCAATGCTCTTCAAGTCCAAGATAGCTTTTGTGAACAGCGATACATGTTCCCTTATGGATGACCCTTCCTCCATCTTGAGTTGATGAATTCTATTCATTAGATATAGCTTGTTTGTCAAGGATTTTGTCATGTACAATCCTTCAACCTTCTTCCATACACCCGCTGCGGTGGTTTCTCCAGCAACCTCCCTCAACACATCATCACCCAAAGACAAAATGATCAAACTATGTTCCTTACTCATCATTTCTTTCTTTTCTTTATGTATCAAGGTGACAGCGTAGCTTACTTTCACCTGCGAGTGCATCTTCAACCCCTTGGTGAACCAGAAATGCCTTCATCTTGATCCTCCATAACCCGAAATCGTTATCACCATTGAACCGCTCAATGTCAAACTTCGTTGAGCCCATCTCGAAATTGCCCCTTCTTTGAACCAAGGCTCTTGATACCAATTGTTATAAAAGAAAAGAGATTGCATATTAAAAAAAATAACAAAAACAAAAAAGACTTATAGTGGTTCGGAATAAATCCTACGTCCACTCTTCAAGATACTTGCGGGCCTTTTATTATAAGAGAATCCAAGAACTTTACAAGAGATAAATTCCTCGCACTTGATTCTCCCTTTTCAACAAAGGATACCTCATCATGGTAATCTGTGCACCATCAGTAGAACACCTAACTAAGCCATTATATAGAAAGAGATAACAAGCCTAAAGTTAATTAGTTATAAAAAAAAACATTACTAACTTGATAAAAAAAACACTCAAAATTTCTCCAACTAACACTTAACTAAACAATATACTGAGCCTATAATGAAGATCCACCCAATTTTACCGAGGAAAAATCATAAACACGAACAAATTAAAAAAAAAAACAACTCACTTTATATGTTGGTTACATAACCGAAATAGAAAATTAACCTTTTGTATGTTAGTTATGTACATAATACACAAATACAGCGGGGTAAAAAAACAAACATTAAAATTGATTATTATGTCAGTTTTTTTAACAGCATAGAAAATTAAGAGTAATGTTATCCTAAAAATTATATACTAATTTGTATAATATTATTTTTTATTTATTTATTTTTATTAATAATATCTCTTCATACCGAATAAAGTAATGTAAAGAAGTTATTTGACAGAAAAATGATATGGTATAAGTTGTTATAATAAATGTCCATGTAGCATTACTCAAAAATTAAAATTCATTATATCATCTACATTTATGACAAGTCTACCAAGTAGTTCTCAATATCATTTCCTTATACTCATTGACCTTATGTTCTGGACCAAATTCTCTATATTATGATACGAAGAACCAGTTTCTTTAACACTATCACGTGCTTTTTCTGAAATCTCATTCGTAGAGCTTATGATCTCTTTCATCTGATTCTCCATCACATTCTTCACCATCTTCTCTACAATCAACCTATCGCATGTCCCATTCATGTCAAGCCCAATCCCCCATTGCTCACTCACACACCTACTATTGATCGTCTGATCAGCTATCAACGGCCAACAAAGCATGGGCACACCTTCAACAATAGACTCGATTGTAGAATTCCAACCACAATGTGTCAAAAACCCACCCACAGCAGGGTGGGCCAGAACCTCCTCTTGAGGGGCCCATTCCACCAAAAGCCCCCTCTCTTTAGTACCCAACTCAACCTCTATAGGCACATTGTTATCCAAACCATCTTTGTTGATCAGGTCCTTTCGGATAACCCACAAGAAAGGCTTCAAACTATTCACCAACCCGTGCCAAAACTCTAATAGTTGCTCATGTGACAACTTCACTACAGTGCCAAAGCTAACATACAAAACTGATTTTGCATTTTGTTGATCAAGCCAAGTTATGCATTTTCTATCTTCTTTTCTCAAATGAAGGGTTGATGGACTATTGTTTGTGATTTGAGTCTTTATGAGAGAGTGAAGAGGACCAATAGTGTAAACTTTGGGAAATATAGTAGTGAGCTTAGAGATAATAGGGGCTTCTAGCTCATCAAAGGTGTTAAGTATAAGACCAGAGGCTTGAGTCATGGATAAGGTTTCTTTGATGTAGAAATCAACGCCAAAATTTCCAGGTTTCATTTTGATAACTGATGGAAGATCACGGTCTCTTAATACATTCTCTAATCCTGGCATGCTTGAGAGAATCTTATCTATATCTTCTGCATGTTAAGTCCATCATGAAATTGTTAAACTTGTAAGCTTCATGAGAATAATGTACTATCAAATTAATTATCAAACAATTGAAGAAAGTAACCTGAACAATGTTGACCAGATTTCATTAACTATAGTCCCGAATAAGGCCTTTTCCTTGATTTATTTTATTCCCTCTAACAAGTTAATAGCATATTTATGATTTACTTAATATGTGTCTCAGTGTGTGTTTCACTTTGAAAGTAATCGAGTTCTTTATCAAACGAAAATTTACAACTTTCCACACAGTAAATTTACTATTCTATTTATAGTGATAGATAGATAATTCAGCAAATTAAACAATTAAGTCAACACAGAGTTTTTTTTTAATGAAAGTTTGCAAAAATGATTTTGAATATGAAATTAATTTTGTATTTTGAAGTGAATTTATTTATATGCTTGGATTTTTTTAATTTTAAAAGTAAGTTCGCAGTATAACCTACTATAATTTCTTTTTAAGTGGATAAATACCTAAAATATTTCAATCCAAAATATATATTTTTTGACTCGAAATTAATTTGATCTAGACTCAAAATCACTTTTTTAAATGTGTTACTAAACTTGCGAACAGCTTGTATCCAAAAATTCTACACCAATGTTAATTAAATTGAATTCAATCAATTACTTTAAAAATAAAAATAAAGATGGAATCGGCATCTGCTTATTAAAATAACTATATCAAAAGGAAGATATTAATAAATAAATAAATAAAAAATAAAAAAAGGATAAAATTTGTGGCCATCTGCATATTATCAATTTGATTGAAATTGAATTGCCGACACATGCCGCTTACACAGGAATTACATTCAAAAACATTTAAATTCCTTGTTTTCTTCACATTGCTTCGGAAAACGCAAAGCAGAAAAGACAAACCAGAGCAAACAGAAGCAAAAGATTCCTTATTCTACACATGCAGTTTAAAAATTTAAATTAGTTTTAGTTTTTATTTTATTTTGAAGATTCATATTATTCTTTCATTTCGTTAAAGATTTATTTATGTAATTTATTTTTTAAAATTAAAAAATTTAGTCCTTTTAAATAATCATTTTTAATTTTAAGAGACAAACTTAAACTTTTTTTAACCGATTCAAAATGTGTAAATTCATCTAAATACAATTTTTGAACTAGAGATATTCAAACCACAAGGAATCATACTTATAATAAAAATAACCTCAAAATGAATCTAACGAACAATAAAAAAAATTAATACCATATTCTTTTACGTAATTTTTACAATGTTTTAATCATTTTTGTTTAAATAATAACTTAATTCAAAATTTTCATACAGGTAAATTTAATGAAAAAGTTTCATATATCTCAAATTAGTAAAAATAACTCGAAATCGTGTCCTAAAAATACATTAATTATATGTTTAATTATTTCCCAACTAAGCACACCATAGTGATTTAAAATTTGCTTATTTATTTTGTTAAAAGTACATACAATGTCGTCACCGTAGAAAAATCTAATTAACATCTTCATTAAAGAACTAATTAAAGTTGTCTTTGTCTAATCGAAACTAAAAATATACAATTACTAACCCTGATGCTGCAGGTCCATGACTCCCTCCTGAATAATTTTGCTTAAGTGGATTGTGACCCACGTGGCAGTAGCACTGTAGGTTCGGAATGCGATCACCGGAATCTCCAACTCTTGAGCAACGTCCATAGCAATCGTTGACATCATCCCATCAGCTACGATGCAACAAGGTTTCTCTTTCTCCACAAAGCTCGACAACAATTCTCGGAACTCTTCCGCAACCTTTGACCTACTTGTCGGGGATACTATTACTGCAAAGTCGTTCCGAGAGTCATCAGTGATGCATGCAAAGTGGAAATCGGGAAATTGGGTGTGGAATGATGGTAAGTCTGTGAATTGGAGAAGGCGATTTTGGTTGTGATTTGTGTTTACGAAGGTGATTCTGTGGCCTCTGTGGGAAAGAAGTTTGGTTAGGTTAAACATGGGTTTGATGTGGCCTTCTGCTGGAAAAGGTAAAGCCACTATGTGAGGTGCAGTTGAGTGCTCCATCTTTGTTCCGAGAGAAGAAGGGAATTCAGAGATCCGATTGGGATGTTGTCAAAAGGGCATTAAATAAAGTATGGGCCGTGGCAAAATTATTGGAAATCACGATGTTTTGTCTTTTGTGTTACAGATTCTATTCCAAGACGGTCTAAATCGGTTTTTTTTTTTTTTTATAAGCAAAAGAAATTTAAATTAAAGGGAGTACGAGGGGTATTCCAACCCGTTACAAGAGACACAGACACAAAATTAGAATCAAAGCTAGAATAGAAACTATGAGAAATACAAACTCAGGTTATAATACCAACTTGTGTAACTAAAAGAACAACCAGGGACAAAATTATTAATCCACTTCCATGAACGCAATTTAATATTATCCAACACTTCCTTGCAATCTGTAGTACCTTGTTGAAAGATAATAACATTTCGATGAAACCATAGTGACCAGATAACAGAAACCCAAACCACTCGTAAAAAGTGAGAATGTTTTTTATATATACCAAGATTCGTCCAATATAAATAAAGAGAAATTAAAGAATTGAGAAAGACCACCGCAACGTCCAACCAATTAGCAACAGCTAACCATGTATTAAAAGCCATCGGGCACATTAGAAAGAGATGAAGAGAGTCTTCAACAAACAGAGAGCAAAAAGAACAGAAATTGTTATCCAACTCCACACCACGTACTTGTAACAATGATTTGCACGGGAACGCATTCAATAACACTTGCCAACAAAACACCAAACACTTGATCGGAGCCTTATATTTCCAAAGATTTTTATAACTAGTTGAAAATCCGAAGAGTATCTGAGTTCTCCACCTACCGAGCGTTGTAGCCAAAGGTACGCACTTTTCACCGAGAATACACCGTCGTTATCATAAATCCATCTCCAATAGTCTTGCCTTGAAGAGATAACATGCAAGCCCTGAAGCATATCCAACAAGGTATTCACACTCCTACCTTCATGGACAAAAGGTTCTCTTCTCCAATTAACCTGCCACACCCACGTAGATCCCTCCCAAGTTCCATTATCCGCCACCACTGACAACGGGTCTAAGGCAAAGGAGTACAAACGAGGAAAGACATCCAACAAGCGCAAACCACCTATCCACTATCCTCCCAAAATCGGGTCATAGTGTCATCACCAATACAACGTTCAGTCTTTTCGTCCAACCAAAAATTCCCTTGTTGTAGCACCCACACTATATCCTTCCACCACCAAGAGGCCCTTCTATCCACATTTGAGCAATTTGAAAAGGACTCAATACGACCATACCTATCATGAAGAACTTTAGCCCACAACATACCCGGAGAGAGCATGCACCTCCACACCCATTTCCCTAGTAGTGCCCAATTGAACAATTTGACATCTTTGATTCCCAGTCCACCCTCAACCTTTGACTTACACACCGTTTCCCATTTTACCCAAGGAATTTGCGAGCCATCCTTGACACCTCTCCACAAGAAATCACGTTGGATGGCCACAATTTCCTTAATCACCGAGTTTGGAGCTTTAAAAAATGAAAGGAAATGGATGGGCATAGCATTCAAAACCGAATTAATTAAGGTCACTGATAAATACTTATGCTTCCAAGAGGATAGACGCTTTCGCAAGCCATCAAGCATTGGTTTCCAAGTAGACAACTTCCTAGGATTAGCACCAAGAGGTAAGCCCAAATGCTTAAACGGTAGTTGACCCACCTTGCAATGTAAAAAAGAAGCCGCCAAGCTAGTGAAATCTACCCCAGAATGAATACCGACCACGCAACTCTTGTGGAAATTAATTTTCATGCCTGAAATTAACTCGAAACAGCGCAAGATGGCCTTTAAGCAGCACAGATTCTGCATAGTAGTTTCTCCAATAATCAGAGTATCATCTGCGAACTGTAAAAAAGAAATCGGCGGACCTTCACCGTCTAAGTGTAATCCCTTAAACAGATTCATCTCTAAAGCCCTACTCAGCAACAGTCTAAGGCCTTCCGCATCAATTAAGAACATAGATGGTGCCAACGGATCACCCTGCTTTAATCCCCTACCTATAGATACTTCTGCCGTTGGACTCCCATTCACAAGGGTTGATAGGCTTCCCCCACATACACAAGCTTCCATCCATCGGACCCATCTCTCATGAAAACCACACCCTCGGAGCATGAACAACAGGTAGTCCCATTCCACAGAGTCATATGCCTTCTCATAATCAATCTTCATAACAAAAATTGGCTTCTTATATTTCTGAGCGTAATCAATAGCCTCAGAAGCAACTAGAACACTGTCTAACATATGTCTACCAAGAATAAAAGCAGACTGATTCTCTGAGATGATTGATGGAAGAATACCACGCAATCTATTCGCCAATACCTCAGAGATAATTTTATACAAGCACCCCAACAACGAGATAGGACGAAAGTCAGTCATACCTTGAGGGCAAGGAACCTTGGGTACCAAAGCCACAAAATAAGACAGAAGAGCCTTTGGAATCTTCAAGTTAGTATGAAACTCAACAAGCAAATCCATCACATCCACCTTCATAAGAGGCCAAAATCTCTTCAAAAAAGAAAAATTGAACCCATCAAGTCCTGGGCTTTTGTCACCGTCACTCTCCCTAATTAAACAACACACCTCCTCCTTAGTAAAGTCACCAACCAACCTTGCATTTTGTTCATTAGACAACACCGGGAAACCCGCAAGTGACAATCGTGGTCTAAGCCAACTTCTTGCTTTGAAATGCTCCTCAAAATATGACCTCACTACTTCTTTAATCTCATAGACCTCCTCTACCATACGCTCACCCATCTTCAAAGCTATAATTTGGTTATGTCGTTGTCTTCCCCTGATAAAAGCATGAAAGTATTTGGAATTTAAATCACCATATTTACTCCAACGAATTCGCGCCTTTTGAGCTAGCAAGGTTAGTTTATTCCTCCGAGCACACCAAATCCCATCTACTAACTCCTTTTGCCGACTCCTTTTCTGATTCTACAAGAACTTATTCCTCATTCTTGGCATCCACTTCCTTTAATTCATTAGTCAGGCTTTTTATCGTGGTATCCACATTACCAAACACCTCAATGTTCCACTTCTTTAGAGAATTTTGAACATTCAAGAGCTTTCCTCGTATTCTTTGGGCAGCCCACGGACCTTGAACCTGTTTCTCCCATGCATCCCTCACCACACCCTCAATACCACGATGGGAAAGCCAATAATTATTAAATCGAAACGGTTTAGGACCCTAGTTTAGCACCTTATGATTCAAAATCAATGGACAATGATCAGATACATCACGCGGAATCACCTCTACAAATCCTGCACCCCTGAGCACTCCAGCTTTCTGAGGTCAACACCCTATCCAACCTGCTCATCATAGAACCATCACTCCTAAACCAAGTAAATCGCTTCCCAACCAGTGGTACATTAGTCAACTCCATATCTCTTATAAACGAATTAAATTCCTCCATATCCCGTGCACCGTAGTCACCAATCCCCCCTTTTCTCTCATCTAGTCTTCTCACCGTGTTGAAATCCCCCATTATACACCATAAACAACTCCCAAAACCACGCTTAGACATAATTATCTCTTCCCACAACCGCCGCTTATCCACTAGCTGACAAGGAGAATATACATTGACCACCACACACCTATACGCATCCACACCCCATTGCAAGCAAACACCATGAAAACCAGAACCAGAAAACGTAAACACCAATTTTCCTCGATTAAAGTTCCAAATTGAAAGTAGACCTCCACTCCTGCCTTGAGAAGGAGAAGCAAACCACTCGAACTCTGTAGATCCCCATAATTGAGCACAAAGGGTACTATCGCACATCTCCAATTTAGACTCCTGTATGGCAATAAAATCTAGCTCCTCAAATCGAATAAGCTCCGATATACGACGCCTTTTCACATCACCCCCTGATCCACGACAATTGAATGTACCGACTTTCATTGCATATCTGAGGATCCCCTAATACCAACCGCCACCATACGATCCCTCTGCTCCATGGACATAAGCTTCTGTCGCACCTCGTCTTCATTTTCACGCACCTCCATTCCAAGACTCTTGCAAATAGCTCTTTCAAATAGAGAGAATACGATCGACCATGGCTTCATCACAACACCGTTCTACATTTGCAGCTGAATTGACACCGTTAATATCATCTAAATAGTATTATAAAAAAGGAAATAGTAATAAACCACTAAATATATTTAAAAAAGAAAAACGAACAAGTAAAAAATGGATCTTTATTTATTGCGATAGAAACAAGGAGAATATTGAGAATAATACTTCATCATCTGAGAAGAGTTCCTAAGCTTATTTATGTATATAAGATGATAGAAGAAAAGAGAAACTAAACAGTAACATAATCTAATAACAGAAGTAACTAATTTTTGTTTTACTAGATAACATCCTCAAGCTGGTTAGTGCATGTTCATCATTCCTGGCTTTTGGATACAAAGCGCTGAAAAGGAGATGAATCCAAAGCTTTTTAGTTATAACATTGGCTAGTGAATTTGTTGTAGCGATAGAGTAGGCTCGAAGCTTTTCATAGACTATTTGACAATCTATATGTTGTATTGGTTGATGAAATGAAGAATTTGTAGTAATACGTCGGGTTGACGGACTATCGATATCATAATACAATAATGCTAGAGATGTGAAAGAAATCTACAAATCTGTAAGCCAATATGTGATCCATTGGATTCGAGAAAAAGTGGAGGCTAAGGCTCTATATAATGCTCATGATGATGATCGCGAGACAATTGGTTGTTTCCTCGATTTCCATGATATGTATGAGAGAGCCTCCAACCAATATACGATAAAGATGTTGAAGTTTCTTCTTTAATTGATGAAGTATTTTATAAAGACTGATATCTTATGAAGAATTATAAATGAAAAGTTATATTTTATGAAGAGTCATAAATATAGTTAAGAATGAATAATTATGAATGAAGAACAATGAATTAAGAGTCATGAATCAAGAGTTATTTCATTCCTTATAATTAAAGAGACTTGTGAAGTGGTAATGTAGTTAATTTCGTCTAATTCATTAAACAACCTTTTTTGAGAGAAAGAGAGAAGTAAAATGAGAAAAATTTTGTATTCCTCTTTGAAAGAAATAAAGAAACTTGGTCTAATCTGAATCACTAGAAGTTTTTTATTTGAAGATTGAGAAGTGTCAGAAAAGAACATTCCTTAAGTAGGAGACCTTTTATATATATCTCAAAACAAACGGTAACCTTATGTTAGATTTTGCATGAATTGGCTAAACTATTGCGCAAAAAAACATATATTATGTCTAGTAGTTGTCAAATACCAAACCTACCTATCAATCTCTTGTATGCAGTAGAATCATCATGATGTATGCCTCCTTCTTATGTCAATTGGGTTCACACAAAGCATTTCCAAACTTCAAGGAACTCTACTACTATTTTCAAGTAAAGTCTTTATAGGTTTCCCTCTAAAATAATTGGTTAAAATTTATTGAGTAAAATAAACAAATCTTGTCTTACTTAATTGATGTGTTGCATTTAATATGCATTTTGGAAACATTTTTACCTTGATTTGTTTACATAAATGTTTGTGTTGTCCTTTATTTTGTTCTCTTTGTTATTTCTCTTTTTCTGTTGAACATGTTAAGATAAAAATATATGCGTCAAAAGTGTTTAAGTTTATATGCAAAAAAGAAGAATTATGAGATTACATAGATCATTGGAGCATGATAAATAATCACAAACCCACACAGTAGAAAATTTGAGAAGGTTTATGCCCTTTATGGGCGGGCAACTCTCAGATGCATGATCGTCCAAACTAACTTATACCAAACAAATTCACAAGGCAACAATTGGCACACACATGCAACGCTTTGCATGTCTGTGCAACCAAAACTAGGAGAAATAATACATATGGTAGCATTTGGCACAGGCGCGCATGCAAACATTTGAAATTACATTTTATCTTTTGATTTGTATTTTTTTTTCTTCTAATTTTAAATTTATTTATTTATTTTTAGGATTAGTTTTGAGGCTTTTAAATAGAATGTGAGTTGAGGGAAGGAGATATCTTTTGATCTACTTTTTACCTTTTAACTTAGAGTTCCAAATCTTACACTCTCAACTCTTATGTTAACTTTTATGCTTTCTTGTTTTCTTGAGGGGGAACTACCATGAGTATGTGTGAGTAGATTTAATCATTCAATTATTTTATTGAATTCCCTTCTTGATCTCAATTCTTAGTATTTTTATATATGTGAGTGTTGCAAATCATTTTTCATAATTTGATGAGATATTTTGAAAAGAATTGAAAGGTGAACATAAATATTAGAACCCTAAGAATTAGACTTAGGTTTTAAATCATTTAATCTTTCAAAAATCAAATGAATTATAACATAAAATGCTATGGGTTTAATTGAATATAATTACCACAATATATAGAGGTTAATTCAATTAGATACACTATCATATCTTGAAAAAAAAATGAAGAATACTTTAGGTTAATTCCCTTTCAAACAAATTTTAATAAAATATTGAATGAGACAATTTGACAAATAGGAACTCATTATGTGAATCCTAATCTCAAAATATCTTCTAAATAATATATGAAACAATTCCTTATATATATTACGCATATTTTATCATCTTTCAATAATCTCTAATTTCTTATTTAAATTATATTTTTTAATTTATAAATTACAAAACTTCAATTTTTTTATCTAATTTTGATTAATCAATGATAATTGTACAAATTAAAATGCAATCATTGTGATCGATATTTTATTCACTTGCAAATTTTCCACATCATTAATTTGTGATATACTTGTTTAGTAAAATTGTACGAGACAACTTTTTAAAGAGTAATTGTTATAAGAGAATAACTTGCAAATATTTTAGATTGAGTAACTTGCTTTTATGTTGATCAAGTTTCATATTTATGAGTAGGTTTTGAAGATGATTGTTGTAAATCCTTTAAGGTATATGCTTGTAGCCTTATTTTGTCTTTCTTCTTCATATTGTAAATTGTTAGTTGGTACCATTAATGTTTACATTAAATGTGTTTAACCAAACTTTCACTTCTTATGTAAGTGAAGGTGTTACTTGTCAACTTTTCTTTTAATTAAGAGAATGAAACATTTTTTGTTAATCTAAAATGACTTTTATGTTAAACACGCTCTTCCAAAAGTTTGAAAAGCAGTCTACATCTGTAAAGATATCATTAATCCCTAAGAAATTAGAGTTTGTTTATTTTATCAAAAAAGACAATAAAAACAAATGATAGAATCATCAACATTAAATAAAACATTTGAAGCTATCTTCTTAAGATAGATGATGGGTATTGTTTGTTCCTTTCTGTGGTGAAATGATTGTCTTTATATGTTTTTAGATAAAACAGTAAAGTTTCGACTATAAAAGTTTGGTATTTTTATTTTTTTATAATTTCAAAAGCGCATATTTATTATTATTAAAACACAAGCATTTGAAAGATTCTCATTCGTCTTGTATTCTAACACCTGGTCATTGGAAAAATAGATTTTTAGTAGAAATTGAGAATTTGATATTCATTCATAATATATGTATAAGATCATGATTTTGTGCATCCTTTTGAGATTTTACACTTGAGGCTTGGTTGCTGATTGGCTATGCCTTAGGAATTAGGGTTATCTTTCGCTTAACAAAGGTTAGTTACTAAGAATGAAGGTTAATATACATTTTGTAGACTTGGATGTTAATTCAATGTGTAAAGTAGATTTCAATAGGGTGTTGTCTTAAAAGTACAGAAGTGAAGAGGAAGAGACATTGACCTATGTTTTATAAGACTTTTCTTGTGTTTTTTTTAAGTATTAACATTTAAAATATTTTTATAATTATCTGTTAATTTGAATTAACAAAATAAAATTTTAAATAATTTTTAAATTTTTTAAAAATTTGCAAACTTGATTTATGTACTAAAAATTTTTAATTTCACAATTAAATCATTAAAATTTGATATAAAATATGAGTTATTAAGTAAAGTAAATTTAAGTAGACTTATTTTTAAAATAAACGGATCCTTTATATATATATATATATATATTAGAATAATAATAAAAAATTCAAGTTCAATTTAAATTTAAAAATTATTTTATAACAATATTTAGATTAAATTAATAGAAATTAAGGTAGAAATGAGAAAATTTATTTGATTTTCGTCGATTCTTTATAATCTTTCTTATAAATAAAAAATTAAATATATATCATTGTTCATCTACAAAATGTGTTTAATTTACTCATAATATTATCTCATTACCTTTATTGACCTAATGTCCTTGATCAAATTCTCCATATTATGAAATGAAGAACCAGTTTCTTGAACACTTTCACGAGCTTTCTTTGACATCTCATTCGCAGAGTTTTCGAACCTTATTCGATTCTCCATCAAATTCTTCACCATCTTTTCCACAATTAACCTATCAGACGTTCCATTCATATTAAGTCCAATCCCCCATTGTTCACTCACACACCTACTATTAATCGTTTGTTCAGCTATCAATGGCCAACAAAGCATAGGCACACCTTCAGTAATACATTCCAATGTGGAATTCCAACCACTATGAGTCAAAAACCCACCCACTGAAGGGTGAGCCAGAACCTTTTCTTGAGGTGCCCAATCCACCATGAGGCCCCTCTCTTTAGTTCCCAATTCAAGCTCCATAGGAACATTGTTACCCAAATCACCTTTTCCAATAATAAGATCATGTCGAATAACCCACAAGAAAGGCTTCAAACTGTTCACCAAACCGTGCCAAAACTCCAATAGTTGTTCATGTGATAGCTTCACCAAAGTGCCAAAGCTAACATATAAAACTGACTTTGCCTTTTGATGATCAAGCCAGGTTATGCATCTTCTATCTTCTTTTCTCAAATGAAGGGTTGATGAATTATTGTTTGTGATTTGAGTCTTTGTGAGAGTGTGAAGAGGACCAATAGTGTATACTTTGGGAAATATAGTAGTGAGCTTGGTGATAATGGGGGCTTCTAGTTGGTCAAAGGTATTGAGTATAAGACCAGAAGCTTGAGTCATGGTCAAGGTTTCTTTGATATAAAAATCAATGAAAAGACTACCAGGTTTCAATTTTAAAATTGGTGGAAGATCACATTCTCTTAATGAATTCTCCAATCCGGGGATGCTTGTGAGCACCTTATCTAAATCTTCTGCATTTTAGGTCCATAAAAAATTGGATCAAACTTCTAAGCTTAATGACAATCACTAGTTTTATTAAATTTCGACCCAAAGAAATTTTGTTAAATCTCTAGAAATTTCGACCCAATCACTAGAAAGCTTCCACAATAACAATCATAAGTTGAAGAAAGCATCCACAATATTAAATTTCGACCCAAAGAAATTTTTTCCCAATTTCTTTTATTTATTTATTTTTTAACACCAAAGAAATGATATATTAAAGTAGTACTAAAGGTAACGAGAGCCTGCATACAAAAGAACAAAACAGTGAGATTTCATATAATAAGTCCCCTGGTTATATGTAATTTGTATTTGGGAGCGGAAATTACAGGCTAAGTGGCTAACCAAGATTCATAGCATTTTAAGACTGTCGCCACCGGCCCGAAACGGGCTTTCGGCATTCGAGAATATTAGGAGGAATATTCTGATTATGTTAGGAATGATTTGATTATGTCATTATAGAAATACCTTGATTTTAGTCTTGTTTCCTATTTTAGCTTAGCTTCAATTATATATGTATATTGATACTGATTGGAATATACAATTAGAAATCTAATATTTTGATATCAACTAATATGGTATCAAGAGCTTGAGTTACGAACCCTAGCCTCCTCTATTTTTTTTCCAGCCACACCATCATAGCCACCAAATCTTTCTAGTGTTCTGCAACTTGACAAATTTTGTCTTGTCATTTTCTATCCCGTAATAATTTGTTCCAGCTTTGCTTATCTCTCTACCAGACTCATCATGGAAAAATTTGAATTTTCAAAACCCATCACAGCTATCTTGACGGGATCAAATTACACTCTTTAGGCTCAAGCAATGAAAAGTTTCTTGATTGGTCGCAAGCTTTGGCGTATCGTCACTGGCGATATCAAATAGCCAACCAAGGAAGCAAGTGAAACTGATGCAGAATTTGCTAATCGTGTTGAGGATTGGGATAGCAAAAACCATCAGGTAATCACATGGTTTCGCAACACCTCTTTTCCATCTATTCATATTCAATTTGCTACTTATGATTATGCCAAAGAAATTTAGGACTTTTTGTCTAGCCGTTATGAGACCACCAGCCTTGCTCACTATTACCAGTTGTGGACGACACTTCACAACATCAAGCAAGAATCTGACCAATCTGTGAATGATTTCCTTGCCCAAGTACAACCAATTTGGCACCAACTATCTCAAGCCAAAATCAGTGAAGATCACCTTCATCTAATTCAAGTTCTTACGGCTCTACACCAGAATATAAAGCTATTCGCGCCTTATTATTTAATCGACACCTACTCCCATCATTAGATACTGCTATGCAAGAGATTATTTTTGAAGAAACACGTTTGAATTTGGACAAACCCCATCCTCTTGATGCTGCTTTGGCAATTGCTCGGTTCTCACAAAAAAAATCAAGCTACCACCCTTGTAAAAATTATAATCGAACTGGCCATGTGTTTTCCAATTATCCAACTATAGAATGCAAATATTGTCATAATATTGGCCAAATTCTTGAGAATTGTCCCACACGACCTCCAAAACCAAACCGTGGCACCTTCAAACCTAAGGTTGTCAAAAAGAATAAGTCTCATATCTCTGCTGCTATCATTAAGGGTTCCACTAGTATTACTATGAGTGATATTGAGGAATTACTCAAACAGGCACTACTACAATTTGAATAATCTAAGCCACTCAATCTAAGACGGTTTACTAAAAAATGATGTAAAATAAGACGCGGTGACATTTTTGTAAATAAAATGAACGTAACCTATGACGGTTTAAAAAATAACCGTAGTAGATTAGCCTACAAAAAATATATCTACGACGGTTTATAGTAAAACTGACTTAGATGTTAAATGATCTACAACAATTTTTGTGTATAACTGACTTAGATGGAGACCCAAAACTAACGCGCGCACGTCTTCTCTCAATTCATGCGCGCCCTTCAGTCTCCCAGTTCTCAGTTCTCTCTCACTTCTCTCTCAGTTCTCTCCCACATTCTCTCTCACTTCTCTCCACATTCTTGCGTGCAACCTCTCAGTGACGGCCTTTCGAGAACTCTTAACTTCTTGCATTTTGTGTGACTTCTTAGCAATGGTGGTCGAAGGTGTTTCGAACGAGATAGGGACACCGAGGCCAATCTCGGAGACAATGCGGTCTTCAACCTCGAAGGGGGCAGAGGCAACATGCTAAACCACCGCTCGCATTGCTCTCACACTTGTTCTTCTGCTTTCGCCTCCCACACGTACCGGAACCCTACATCTACTCGGCCACACCAATTGCAATTGCATCGTTATTTCTCTTTATCTTTTTCATTTATTCCTTTTGTTGATTTTCCTCACCAGTTTAAATATTTTTTTTCCTTTTTTAATTCCGTGTAAACAAAAACCAAGTCCACTATCCTTGTGTATTTACGTATTTATTTTTTTTTTCATTTTCATTTTATGATGGACCAGCTCTGAAAAGGCATTTGGTGGAGTAAAAAGTGATATACTGGATTCTATTTTCATTGCACACCTTGTTAAGATTCTTAAGTCCTCTCCTCCTAGTTTACAAGAAAAATTTGCATCTGTGCTTGAGTTTGTGGCATTAACTGACCCAACTCTGGCCCTAAGTACACTTTTGGATATTAAATCTGGTCTTTGTTCTATTTTTCAACAAACAATTTTGAAAATTTCAGGTAAAGTTGTTCTATAATTTGTGATTTTTTAAAAGTGGTAATTATTTTCATTTGTTTGGTTTTTTTTTTGTTATTTTTGGGTGTGGATGCATAATAAGTACATTAAAGTGACTAAACATCATTATTTGGGTTTCAATAGATATGTGGTTTTTGATAGATGTGAAGGCAGGGAAAGAGATGGAATTGACTCTCCATTTAACTGCTTTTATTATTTAATTATCTCCAACAATAACTCGTGTTTGATCAGCTGGTGAATTACCAAGGCCATTTGCCATTGTTTGTTGATTCAAATTGGCATCCAATTATGTTCCCATTTTTTTTTTCTTGGTTC